TGAACCGAAGTGCCGAACTGAACCAAAGTTCTAAAGTGTTGAAGTGTCGAAGTGCCCAAGTGCCGAATTGAACAGAAGTCCTGAAGTCTCGAATTTCGGAATGCCGAACCGAAAATTTTCCCCATGCACATCCCTATTGTATATGCAACATAATACATTTTCAGAACTTAATGGTGTGATGGGTACCTGGAAGAAAATTTTTAAGAGACTCTAAAATGTAAAAAAGTCAAACCAAAGATTAAATTTTTTATTATTTTGAATGTATTACTACCTTCTCTGTAAGGTATATTACAAGTCTTGCAATATATATATATATATATATATATATATATATATATAATACAAAGCTGTGCTAGTGATAACTATCTATTTGAATTGCCAGCACAATCTTGCAACCACTGGCAACAAAAGAATTAGAGTGAAATGGTGCACTTGATCTAGGTTTTAACAAAATATGATTCCTCACCATCTGAAAGATTGTTGGGGCACTTTATAGGGTTACTCCAAACAACATCACCACGACTGAGGAACAGGGCTAGAACACTCCTCAAATCAAAATCACTACACCAGGCTGTAGTGGTTATGGTGCATTGAGTAACCCTGTAAGTATGGTCGAATATATACTAACTTCTGCATCCTATGAACAATTGTGTTACATACAAAATGTGTAGGAATTAATCTTTCATTCAAAAAACATAGCATCATTATTTAAATAATGAAGCATCGTTGCTAAGAGTTTCATTGCCAGCGTTTCATTGGCACATCTTCAGAGCTTGCCACTTTTTGATGTTGTTTCATCATTTTAAAATATACCTTCAAGGGGTCCACTGGTCTAATCTTTTTTCAACCCAGCCCCAACTTAGGTAAATGTCTACAGTAATCCACAGTGACTACTTGGCGTATTCAGTTTTTGGCAAGGTACACAAGAATCCTGCCAAGTTCTTTAGTTCCCTTTACATACTCTTACAGGAGTGTTGTAATTTAAATATCAGTCAACAAAATATCACTCATAAATGAATATTGGTCTATTCTAACACAAAAAATATGCAATATCTCATAGAAATGCAAGTCTAAACGTGTACCTTAATTTGCTTGTTAAACAATTTTGGTGAAATAAATAAAATAAAATTCTATGCCATGCTTTTATTAGTATATAGGTATTTTGCACCTGGTACTTTATATGTCAATACTGTGTCTTTATTCTTTACCGATTCCATTACCATACATTTTATAGTATTATCCTTGTTTCTACTGTAGGTGTATTCTTGTTACAGACACTGTAAATAAAAAGCTCATATACTTAAAAGAAACACACACACACACACACACACAAAACATAGTTTTAAACTAGCTACATTATAGTTGTATAATAACTGTTAAAAGGAAGTCACGTTTAAAAAGTGTCATTTCTTATCAAACTACTTCTACTTTCCTGCTATACATTTTTCAAATAAGATAAGGTTCTTAACCCCTTCACTACTCTGCACTTTTCAGAAAAAGAACATTCTTTAACCCAACAGTTATTTACCAATTAATGAGGTTACAGACAGGAAAACAGAGCTGTAAATATATACAATGTCTTCCTCACATAGCCTATAATCGTCTCACCTATACAGTTGTGTATGTATATGTATATATCCCTATGTATATTGTATATGCTGCCACATTACCATGACACTACCCATGCCATATTATTCTCCCATTGCAGCCATGTTGCCATTTTGGACATACATACAAATAGACATGCACATACATCCAATGACACACACATACACAAACACACTGATGTACAATGACCCACAAACACAAACATACATTAACAGATACAGTCACACAATCACAGTGTGTCCGGCATTGTGTATTGTATAGTGTGTATGTACCTGAGAGTGTGTGTCAGGCAGTTAGTATACTTGTGTATCTGTGAGTGTATATCTGTGTGTATTTGTATCCATAACTGTGCCTGCCAAGCATATCTGTGTCTGTGTGTGTTTGTGTAACTCTGTGTCTGTGAGCATTTGTGTGGTGGGAGCTGTTTGCAGTGTGTGTGGGGCTGCTTGTGATCTTGCTGTGTGCATTGTATATTCGGTGGGGCTGTGATGTCTGTGTGAGGAGTAATTGTGTGAGTATGATATTTACCTTCTGTGAAGGGGTGCCTGGGTGCCTATGAGGGTGCTTAAGTCAGGATGTTTGTGACAGAGTGAGTGTGACATGGTGACTGTCGGTAATGGGATAGTGTGAGGGTGACTGTGACATTGTGACTGATTGTGTGTGTGGAGGAGGGGGTGATGTGTCATAGGGACTGATTGTGTGTTGGGGCGATGTGACAGAGTAACTGATTGTGTATGGAGGCAGGTTGTTGTGACATGTTAACTGAGTGGAGGGGTATCATGACAGGGGGATTGATTGTGTGTCTATGGGGAATGGGTTGCTTGACGGGGTGACTGTTTGGGGGTAGATTGTGTGTGGGGTGAATGTATTTCCTTGTTCAGACATAGTGCTCATTTTTTATATTTAGATGACCCCACCATCTGCTTACCTTTGTACAGTGAGCGAGGGATCTGATCACCTTACCCTGGTAGTCCAGCGTTTTCCCTGGTGATCCTTTGGGCTACCCGTGGAATCTGCTGAAAGCAGAACCCTCAAAATGCACCCTTACAGTCTCTGACCTGGAGGGATTATTTGCCAAGCACTACTCTGAGCCAGAGGCAGCATGCAGAGTGATCAGCAGAGTGCCGTGCAGGGAGATCTCTAGATCTTCCTACCAGCCAGTGTTACCGAAAAACAGTGATTGGATGTTTGCATTTTATATGTAAGAATTTTGACATTGCACACACAATAAATACAGTGTGCAGTACAAGGTCAATTTTTCTTATTTATTTAAGATACAAATGCATATGTAGAGAAGTGTCTTCCGGAACCAAAAGGTAAATGACATTAACAGCAAAAGAGGCAATTAGTGGAAAATGTATAGTACATTAGTTTTCTTTTGTTGTATATCATTCAACAGCTTCCAAAAAGAAAGCAATAATAAAGAAGCAACACACCCTTTTAATCACCAACTGTGGACACAGTGAGAATATGAAGAGTGAAAGCCATGATCAGACAATGTTTGGGTTCTGTAGGAGTCTCCTGCTTTTCTTGTAATGGAAAATTCATTTTCCTGATTGTAAGGCCCTTAGGCTGATGCATTACCTACATTACCATAAACATAATCAAGCACTTACTGATGTTAACTTAAAGGGACAGTAAAACCTTAATAATAGATAACAGTCAGGATGAGAAAAAAAAAAAACAATTAAATACAATATATGAACTTAACCTAGTATACTCATATTGGCATGGCTCCTAATGGGCTGAAGAACCAAGAGTTTATGACAGAAGATTGTGGTGCCCACGGGGGAAAGATTTAATCAGATATAATTTACTAATTGACTTCTACTGTAATTTAGGACCACCGGATGCCAAGGGGGATGTAAAAACATGCATCAAAATGATCATTTTTGCATTATTTTATGCAAAGGCCCTTGAAGATAAAAGAACCATTATAAATTAAAGTGCCACTGAGAAGTCAGAAGTTGACACCTGGCCTGTCAATAAGTTAACTTGTATTTTATTAACAGGCAGTTGTCACTATTTTCAAAAATACTTAGCTTAGTCTTAGCTTACTTAGTCTACACTTTCAAAATATTGTAAAAAAGGTGAAATACACAGTGAATCGATGTGTGTGGTAGCGGTGACCGCTACAAACCACCTGAGTGGAAACCCCTTATACCACTCTAAAGAATTAACAAAAATACTTTCAATAGGTGGATCACACGTCTGATGTATCTCCTTACAGCATCACCGGGAGAACTCCACCCTGCCCGTCTCAGCAAGGGCTGCTTTTGCTGGATACAATGTTACAGTAGAGAATGCTCTCTGCAGCGGTGAGACATTGCTGAGACAGGCAGGGTGGAGTTCTCCCGGTGATGCTGTAAGGACATACATCAGACGTGTAATCAACCTATTGTATGTATCTTTCAAAATATTACTTGGAAATATTAGATAAGCAAAGTATAAATAAAAATAGTGGAACTGTGATATATATAACTAAAATGATAAGTGAGTCACTGATTAATTCCAGTGTTTGTGTATTTGTGTGCTTTTTAAATATGTTCTATAGACAGTAGAGCTGGATACATGAAAGTGTTTTAGGATTGACAGTGGCATAACGGGGGTGGGGGAGGGGACGGTCCACTTTTTTATGTGCCACGAGGAGCAGGCCAATGGCCCATCACAGGGGGCCCAGAAGGTTGCCATCTGGGCACCAGAGGGCACCCCTAGAAGCGGACACTTATTTACCAACACAGAGGCACGTGCTTACCTGCATGGAAGGTGCTTACTCTGCCGAAATATACTGGAGGGGGGGAGAGAGAGGAGGCTGGCGGCAGGGGGGCACTGATATTCTTCTGGTTCCCGCTGCATATCCTCATGACTTCCAAGATGGAACTAGCACTTCAATGGAAGCCTAAAAACCTCCCTCGATTACAAAAGTAATATGCTGAGTACATGTGGTGGAAAAATATGAAGAAATTACTCATCGACTTCTAGGCTCCTCAGCCAAATTCAACAAAACATGGACCCCTGGACGTAATGGGCAAAGAACAGGGCAAATAGGCCATCAGGGTCTCACTCCCTCTCCCCTCCTACTCCTCTCCCTACAACTGTCCATACAGTTCTCATGTGTATCCCCTTATTTTACTGAGCCAACTCAAGAGCATACAAAGGGCTGAAAATGCAGCCCTAGCAACAAAATAGAGGGTTAAGGACCAGACACCTTCCAAAAATAACCATGCTCTAATAATCCCTACACCTATATCATGTTTGTTGAAGATGTTTGAAAGGATTAGCATGATATTTCCAATATGCAGCGCTTTTGTCAGATATTCTTTGTAAGTCAAGGAATAATTGCAATAACTGCACCATCCACTCATAATTGTGGTAAAATGCTCAAGTGAAGAAAATCAAAATGCATCTGGCAAATTCTCTTGGTTGTCATTTTTAAAAAAATTATTACTTTTGAGCATGTAGTTTAGTTTTTGAGACAGCTGTCAAACATAGAAACCAAGCATACTAGATATTGAAAACTGTTCCTCGTCATTGTCTGCTTGAAATTGTTCGGCGTTATATTAGCACGGGGTTATATACACTAAAGTGAGATTTCAGAGTGAATTACAAATAATAGGCCAAAGTAGCCAAACTGGAAGTAGAGCTAACTTGACAGGCTCTACAGATGATATGATGGGAGAGGAGTTGACGAAAGAGAATAATGCTTCTCCCCTGACATACACTTCACAGGACATGGCAGAAAAAAAATCCCTTTTGGTCAGACATGCAGTTTATCATTTGTGTCCTCACTGATTGCTGGCTTCCTCTACTCCCTGAGTATATCTACTAGATATGCTCCCAACCTCACTCCAGAAGCCAAGAAAGCATATAATCTTACCTATCTTATTACCTAAAAATATCAGTAAAATACTTATACATTATTTGTTTTCCCCTCAGGAGAGCCCAGCCCCTGACTACACACACAGTCACACTCCTAAAATTAAAGTGACCATTGTCCATTGAAATTTTTGAAGCATATTTGGATTCATACACACAATTTTCTCAGTAACAATTATGGAGGACTGACAAGAAAACTTTCCTTTTTTTTTTTTTTCAAAATAGCCTCACTGGAAAAATGGAAGTAGATTTAGTGATATCGTTAGTGAAAGTGCAGTTTTTTGCATTTTTTTCACACGTTTCACTGACGATATCATTGTTGTGATATATTTTACTCTTTTGAAACACTCATTTTTGTGTTCAGTGAAGTCTCCTGAGTATAGCAGTACCCCCCGTGTACAAGTTTAATGGTAACCCTAAACGCAATAATTCTAAGCACCCCTTATAACACAACTGGAACATCAATGTTCTAATCCTCAACTCTGAACAGCCTATGTAATCTAACTTTGACATCAACCCACCTTTTCAAATCCCTTAAACATTGCACCCAACTACATGGGAACTGGATATGTGCCCAAAATACCAACCAGTAGCATGTGCTGATCAAATCAACCTTGTAGTCCCTAAAATAGCCCAGAAAAAAATATTTACAGAACTGTTAAATAAAACATACTTCCAATAATATGTAAAAAAAAAAAAAGCTATAACAGTCCCTCAAATCTACTTTTTTTTTAGTAAAGGAACATTTTAACATAACTGAGAATTTAATATATTGAACTATTCCATGCTGTGATCCAAAAAACCCTAAAATCCTTTAGCCTATTTAAAGTAGACTCCAAATACCATAACCATTAAGCCCAGACATTGCCCCCCATTGTAAGGAGTCCAACTATTTTATTACGGTTTGATATCTCTGGTCCGTGGGTGCTGATCTCTGCTTGGACTACCTCAACCAAAAGTAATGCCCATCATTGGCTGAGATTAATCTTTCCAACTTGGATATACTGGATTAATAATTGCAATTTCCTTGACAAATTCCACCTTTCTAGGTTTAATGAGTTACCCTGATGAGTTGTTATACAACAATACAGAGTTCAAATGTTTGTATTTTTATTTTATGTCTAAAGCATTTGTTTCCAACAGAAGGCCAATTATAGGCCGAGGGCATCAGTTGACACTCTAAGCTTATCACTGGCATTGGCAGTGAAAGGCTTCCACTGTGAAGGCAGTGTCGGAGGAGTTGGTGCTGATGATTAGCACTGTTGAGAGCACGTTGGTGGTAAACTGTTTGTTAAAGGACCTTCTCACGATAATGACTTCCATGAGATGAAGATGCCCCTATTGACCCTTTAATGTTTCTGATGCTGTACTTGCATGGGTAAGCATCATCAGCAATGGGTACCTATGAGACCTGGAAGAGGATCTGCCAATCTTCCCATTCACAGTTCTTGAATGAGACGACATTCACTAGGTTTACCATACATCCGGATTTCCCTGAACATGTCGTGTTTTTGAAGGCAATGCTCATATTTGGAGGAGTTTCCAAATTTGAATTTCTTAGCATGGCGTTGACATCACTACCAAGCAGGCCGACATGTTCCAGCTGCCTTCGCTTCACATTTTTTTGGAGGAGGAGTGGGGATATCTGTGCAGGAGTTAGGCAGGCTAGGCAGAGAGGAGGCTAGCAAGAACATAATATATAGGGACATCATTTTTAGTTAGTGGGGTAATAGCTTCTCAATTAAAGTAAAGATCTGACTGCCATTCTGAGGTCAAGAGGGAATTTGTTCCTACTTTGTTGCAAAATTGGAAGTACTTCAAACTGTTTTTTTGTTGACTTCTTTTGGATCAACAGCAAAAACAAATGTGAGAAAGGCTGAATTTGATGGACGCACCTCTCTTTTCAGCTAGGTAACTATTTGAAGAAAAAAGTTATACCACACTCAATTGATTACAAAAAGTATTTATTAAATAGAAAAGTTATCAAGAAAGTTAATCAAGAAAAAATAAACTCTTGAAATTTTTCATCTTTTATGTTCGGTTCCTTTTTAAAAATCTATTTTGTATTCCTGTTTTGTATTTCTGTTTATTCACATGAAAACATATCTTCCGAAACATTAAACATTATATTTCCTTACTTCAAGTCCACCTTTTTAAAGGAACACTCCAAGGATCATAACCACCACATCCCTCTTAGCTATTTTTTTCAGAGCTGGAAACACCAGATGGAAATATAGGAGCACTTTAAGCAAATTGCTTTTAGTCATTGAAGAACTTGAGAGAAACTGTTTTGCATTAACTGACATCTGACTTATGCAGCTCAACAAATGCACTCAAAGGAGCCCAGGTAAGTGTCAAAGTGTGTTAAACTGGTACTTACTCTCTCATCCAAGGAGCCGGCACTGTACTGCAGGGCTTAGTTCAGTGATGCTAACAGAAGCCCCTTGCTGGAGCTTCTGGCTTTAGAGGATTATATGACCAGCACCAAGTGGACCCAAGGTAAGTTGTTAAACTATTCTCAAATGGTTTGACTACTTGTCCCAGGGGGACAGGAGGGAACCTCTGAAACCATTATGTTTATGGTGTTCTGAGTGTACCTTTCAGTAATGATATATTTAGAGTAGTTTCCATTTTCTTAAATATGAACATATATTTTGAAACTTCCATGTAGCAGTTAATTTGTTCCAATTAAAATTTTTGCAAGGGACAATGTAGGTTTCACATTTTTCTCATGTCCAGTATAGCACGGTGAACTGCAAGTATGAAAAGAGGAGCATAGACAGAAATGTATTCAACATAATTTGTCATTCATAATATATCTATCTATCAATATATATATATATATATATATATATATATATTTTTTTTTTTATTTACTTTTTAAAAATGTATTATTCTCATGGCTTTTCACAATCTGGTAATAACAGCTAACCATTTTGACATTTCATGCGCACAAGAACCCGTTTGGCTAAATTTCACGTCACAAATGAATGTATTTAATGAAAGAAGGATGCTAGATCAGGGAATACATTCCCATTGCACATCCATGGGGCTAACTGGGCATCCAGAACAGAGTTTAAGTGTTATGCAAATGTATGTCTAAATATTTGCTAATTTGTACGTGTTCTAAATACGTAGATAGGACAATTCATACATGAAAAAAGTTAAATTAAATAGGAATACCGTTCAATAAAAGCAAACAAGTAATTTTGAAAACTGTTTAATAATAAATAATGCTTCTCTTTTTTACAGTATAAACTATAAATATACCATGCAGTCCATATAATTTAAAATAATTTACAGGCTGAGGTAGGGGTGGGGAGGAGCTTGGGAGCAACTTAGGAGCGACCTTTCCTGCTTAGGACGCAGACACAAGCTGTATCAATCCGTATAAACCTCCATGCTGCTTGCTTCCCTTCCATGGTCAATGCTTTGACAAAGGTGTGCGTGGTGGTACAATAAGAGTTCCAATGCTTTGAATCAATCCCACGACATCCACCTGACACTGGCTTTGGGTCCATGCATTTGGTCTCAAAAAAGTACTGCTTGAAAACACTATTATTTATGTTCACTTCCCCCAAAACAGTCACCTCCTTTCCCTTAATGTCTGTGGCTGTGGTCTTCTCCCCAACCCACATGCTGACACTGTCACACACAGAGTACTCCCCTCGGTGAAGAACTGGATGCACCGTCCTCTTAGCTCGGATAGTCTTATTGAGAGACTCCTCATCATCCAAGTACTCCAAGTTCCGCCAGTCCTCAGATAGTGGAGGTGGCTGTGTGCTAAACAGAACTCTTGGAGAGCGAAATTTCCTTTTTCTGAAAAGTTTAGGGTCCACTGTAAAATTCTGAAAGTTTGAGGGTCCATTTACATCTATCTTCCCATGAGAACGATGAAGGGATTTAGTCCGATGTGTATGATGTGGAATGCGAGGTCTTGTAGAAGACCTTGCTGGAGCATGGTCCTTGGTCTTTGGTGCAGCCTGTATGCCAATCAAAAATGCTATAATCAGAGTGTAATATAACATGGACATTACTTTATCCACCTAGAAGAAAAAAAACAAACAATAAAACATACATTAAATATATTGTATTAAGAATTTATATTATTAAAATACTTCCTATTTTAAAACTATTGTAATCAGGAATCCGACAACTACCAGTCAAGACCTTCAGGTTATATTGCGTTTAAATATACTTTGCCATATAAAATGTTGCCATTTGTATGCCTTTCTGCAAATTATGTTAGAGTTCACTTCCCTGTCACCTAATTTTAGTAATGTGATGAGATTATCAATGGAAAAACTTGTGGTCTTGTTTGAAAAAATGGTCAAATATGTATGGCTATGCATGAGCAATTTGACTGCATTCCTGGGAATGTAGCGTTATAAAATGCCACCACAAAGTACAAATAATTCCCATGTGTTGAAATAATGCCTACATACTGTAAATAAATTTACACCAAATATATGTGCATGAAATAAAGCTTACAGGCTGCCAATGACTCTTTCATAAACATGTAGAGTGCTCAGAGCCCTCTTCGCCTCTCCCATCTTTCAGCTGGCAGAATCCAGCCATAAAATGTGACTCAACCATTGTGCATTTGGATCCAAACATATTGCAGTTTGACCAAATTTTGGGCGATTTGGTTAATTTCTACACCTCTGAGGGTATTTTGCAGCAATACCTGCCCACTTGCTTGTCTTTATTACAGAAAACAG